GACTACTGGTCTTTTATTTATTGATTTTTTATTGTATTATTATTTCATATATATGTTAGTGTGTAAGGTATTTATAATATGGGCAATATAGACTGAATTAAATGAAATTAAATCAAATAAAATATGCAATTATACACCATAACATGCGCTTTTTGAAAGTTGGTACATTGAAACGGATTGAAATATATTGGTACGATTAAACGGTCTTTCTTTCGGCTTTTCACAAAATGTAACATCAAAAAACGTAAGTAATCAATTTTATGATCTAATCTATTCAGTTACTTAAAGCCGGATTCTTATTTGATCGGAATAGAAGTACTAAATTGAGTTTCTGATTCAACTTCAATTTAGATCTCTCAGATAACCGACCAACTTGTTAGCTTATTTGACAAATAAAAACCAAACGAATGAAATACACACAAGGTATATATGAGTGATTAAGATTCTATAATATCACTCATATTACATACTCTTTATCACTCATAAATACTACTGTCACAGATAAGACTTAATTTAAACATTTTTGAATAGTCATAGTTATCATTCTTATAATCTACCGCTCATTCGGAAAATTGACTCATCACAAGGAGAACGAGCAAGAAACTTGTGTGTTGCTCTTTTAAATAATCATTATAATTTTACATTTCCAATTTGAAACGTACGAATACAAACCACCAGCAAGCATTTATTTATTAGCTTTAATTATAGCTTTAATGATATTAAGTACACAATAAGATTAAAACAGACGTAGTGATTAAAGCAGACCAGTCCCTACAAGCAGCACTCGTTCACGAGTATGACGTATGAGCCAGCTATCACTGCGCTCAACCATATTTTAGGGAGCCCAATGACCCGGCCCATAATATTACATACTACCGGATAATATTACATACTTCTATTATATAATAATATGGGATATATATAGATATATATGGGGTTTACTATTTTTAATATACAAAAAAGGTCTTTAATTATATTACACATTCAACAGAATTGGACAGCGAAATTACTATGAAAGGATGATTTATTAATACTCCCACCCACCTGTATTATTTTTATCACAGTACGAGATATACTTGTTAATATAGTAAGTTTGTATGTTCTATAAATAGATACATGTTCAATGACTATTAAAAGTCTTGTATCTACTATATACATCTTTAGTATATAAAAGAAAGTTTCTAGACGAACCAAGTTAATAGCCTTGCTCACTGACCCGTAACTTTTACGCTAAATTGAATTGGTCATATCAAGGTTCTTTTTAGGTCATTACTACTGTAATATTCTGAATATGGATACGGGTAATGTATTAAAATATTCACGTAATCTTCCTACTGTTGCCGGCAGTCTAACAATATCCATTAGGCAAGATGGAACACTTTTCCCGCCTAAATTAATATAAACGATGGCGAATTTAACCAAGCATTTCTATTTATTTAGCAGGGTCATGGGCGCCCGAAGTTTGTAAATAAAGACTGACAGAGGGATTGTATATAAATTATTATACGATTTTAGTCTACTTTATGTCAAAGTGGATTGAGGTGTGACTTTATAAAAAGTCATCTGCGTACTTACTTATGTCTCACCTATTGTGACGACAAGTAGCTACTTTTTATGCTACGTTTCGGTTTCAAGAGTGATAATTGCAGTGAAATTACAGGGTACGAAGGCATTACATCTTATTTCAAAAGAATGGCAATGAGTCAATCATCATCACTCATGATGAACACATCACACGTGATGACGTGATGTTCGGTGTATCTGGGTACGGTTTTTTTATATGGTTATACATTACAGTTTGATAGGCGCCTCGTCCTCTCGGCGTCTCGCTATTAGATACGGATGATCAGACGCCTATGTATTGGAAGAATCAGATATTATTTAGGTACAGAAAACATAATTATGTATTAATAGCAATAGTAGGTAATTGTGTCATCGAACACATGTCAACCGATGGACATTTTGCAACAAGTGAAACGACAGCTCGTTTGCCATTTCATTTATATCAAGACTGGGACTTAACCGCAGTGACGCAGGGTTAGGAATATTCATAATGGGAATTAATATGTAGTATGTTTGTACATTATAATGACTGGGTTATTTTTATGAATCTCATCTGCTTTAATATAAATATAGACCAGTGTAGCGTTTGTTTCATTTCTCTCGAGGCGTCTGAGACCTGAGTAGTATCATTGTTAACACTGTATACCATATTGAGTACCTCTATGTGATAATTCCCGGAAATCGTTAGATTTATGTTAAATACATCACGATGGGCAATTGACCTGACTGATTTAATTCTCTCTTATCATCTACTGGTGCTCCATCAGTGTTTTTCATTTAGCTATCATTATTACATTCTCCATATGACACTCATTAGTAAAGTTTTGTGATTACAAAAAGGGATAAATTACTCTTCCATGATTAGACAGTTCGACTGTTCTGTTAATACAAGTCTAAATTTTATTTTACGTTTAAAAAGTTAATCCGACAAGCTATAAATGTTAGACACTTTTCAGCGCTTTGTAAAGGTTTTATAAAAGTATCTATTTTTAGAGTCGAACTTAGAATAGTCCACAAAGTCGGCAATTGTAAATAAAATAAATAGACTCCTTTTTCTGTAGTTAACTCTCATTCATTAACGGTCATTTAAAGTCGTATTTCTAAAAGTGCAAGTTTAAACGTCTTATTTTTTCGTATAACCACAGATAATATAATATTACATAGTATAACTGGTATTATCATCACTACATAGTATAAAACAAAGTAGCTGTCGCTGTTTGTCCGTCTCTATATATGCTTCAATCTTTAAAACTACGCAACGGATTTTAAAGCGTTTTCTTTAATAGATAGAGTGATTCAAGAGGAAGGTTTATATGTATAATACATGTACACCCGGGCGAAGCCGGGGCAAGTAGCTAGTAACAAATAAATGGATGCCAATTTAATGGAACGTGTGTTTGACTTTAGAACAAACATTACAACCTAAAAAAGTTCCTCACGCAAATAAAAAACATAATATAATTACTAAAATAAAATCAATAGCGCTGCAGAAAATATTGTGTGTCATATTATATATAAAAATAAGCATATTCTTTTCTTCTAATAGAATGAAAACATTCAATATAACTTAGTTTACTAGTTGTTGGAAATTGCCATCTGTTACTTCAATAGGTATTGGCCTACATATCCTCCTGAACCATAATGATTAACGTAGAAACTTCATCGTTTATATTTCTTTGTTCGTTCCAGGAAAATAGGGCAGGTATCATTTCTATGAGATTACCTCTTCAACGAACCGCGCTACCTACAAATAGTCCATTTGGAGATACTTCAAGTGTTATACAGGCTGTTTTTAATACGAGAAGAAACCGTAATAATTTTATATGTCCTGACCAAATCGTAGAATGTATCATATTATAATATAATTAAGCATTTCATAACCTATTAAGTTCAAAATTTTGAAATATATTTCCATAAACAGTCTTATAATTATTTCTTATTGAATTTATATTATTTTGTTGAAATCTTCTACAATTAGCATATGTGAATTTTGATGCCACAAATATTCAGTGATCTTTCGCAAAATAACATCTAATTCGGTAAAATAAGTATCTTACAATTATAAGATGAGATATTCATGAAAAATAATAAATTGAAGAATACCTATAGCAACATAATAATATTTAGTATTTATATTACCTACTCTTTCACTGATTTTATTGTAAATGATCTGCCAAGTTTATATTATAGGCATATTTGTACTAACATTATTAATAGTATTGGAGGATTTTGTTATGAGATGAGGAAAGTAAACTTTGAAACCACTGCACTGAATTGAGAAATTCTTTCACTGTACAAATATTTGTATTCATGAGTATGATGGATAATATTGATCTAGGTATTTTCTATGCATATTTTGTATGTATTTAAGTAATCCTATTATTTCTCTAGTATCTGTAGCAGATGCTATGCTTACAGGATGGCACTGGTGACTTGTCCTGGATTCCTATTATTATTATATATATATTGTATTTATATTTGCTCACTGAAACTTATTCAGGTTCATGAATACGCAGTATTTCAGATTGTTACTCCCTTCATTCATCACACCCTTTATACTCGTACATATAAATTACTGTGGCTTCCTTAAATACAGTTAGTATTTAAGCGGCAGCATTTTGTTAAGATTACCCGTTTAAAACGGCGAATTTTTACATATAATTTGCATAATTTATTTTAAACCTTCCTCTTAAACTGATGTTTAATCCAAGATACAGTACCAGTAAACTATGTAAGTGTGTCATGCTACTTTTATATTGATAATTATTTATTTATATTTTGTTGTAACTGCTCAATTAAAAATATGTTTATTAAGTTTGTATACATTTTTTATAGTGCCCTGCTCGTGACGTGTAGTCTTAATGAAATAATACAGGAGCAGACGAAATCAGGGAGAAAACTAACAAAACAATAAATAGGTAGTTATTTGTGTAACAAAATACGTTCTACAATCATATAAGTATGGTAGATACAGTTCTGAAAAATTTAGTATTTATCCCTTTCCTTATAAATACCAAAACTTCTTTTTTATTAAATGTATGATAAAGGTATAGTGCATCCGCCTACGCTAATGGTTTACTCTGACGGAGCACCAGTGCAGGATGATAAGATGAACATGAGGTTTGGTCAGTTAGCACATCATAATAAATTCAACAGGTATTTCTCATATTGGTATCTAGGAGTAACCAGATGGGGGGCAACCTGACGATGTACATTACTAGCGATGGAGTCAATACTCCACATTGCTAACAATTCTCCCTCTGAACGTGGAATTAAACACGATGGTTTCCAGGGGAGGGGACGTCTCTGCTCATCTAACTCCGAAGATTTGACACAGATTCCAGATACATTGCAAGCAGTAGAGCTAATCCCCACTATTAGCAACCCCCTCCTTTCTCAAGTGTAAAGGCTAAGACAGACGAGACTAATGTTCATACCTGAACGTCAGAGTAACTTGTCCATACAACTTCTTATTATCCAACAGGGCACACACACACACACCTGTCGATGACATTCTCGACACAGGTCACACAGGTACATCGTCACACAAGACACAAGACTCTGTTGAATGAGTATATAAATTATCAAACACACACACACACAAGGGTGAGATGAGGCAGTGAAATTAAAGGATATTGAAGCATGGGAATAACATGCGTCATATGATAACGTGATATCAATGGTCCTGTTTATATTTAAATATAGGTAACGGTTACCACTTACCATCAGGTGGACCGACCACTTGCTCGCTATTTTAGTGAAAATTCAATAAAGAAAAATAATATTTTAAGGGTAATAGGTTATAAGAGAAGAGGAAGGCCGAAAAGAGATGGATGGACTGTGTGAAAGCTGACACAGAAAGGTACACACACACACACACACAACACATGAATGGAAGAGAAAATATATTACACACCACACAATTGACACACAAGACACACACACTCACACACACACACACACACATGACAACTGAAAAATAACAATAACAAACTGAAAAATATTTAAGACATTACAAAAATTCTTACACTTATATTTAAAGAAAAATAGTTGTCTAAAACATCTGTGTAAAGACGCTTTGTCAAAAAAAATTGTCGTTTATATAAATAGTGCTTTAAGTCCAGAAATGGCTAAAGCTAGTCATAGTCATGATGATACTGAAATGAGAAGCATCACTGACTGACCGTATAGTAGTCATTTGTGATATAGGAATCTAACAATGGTACACTTATTATAACCCAATACAAAGAGGTTTTGTATTACATGTCTAAAAATGAATCTTCTCGTGTTATATCCCGATTCGGAATTCGGATTCTCAATTGGAATTCTCTTGCAAAAATATTTTAACTTCATGATTTTTAACTAACAGTTACCCGCGACTTCGCCCGTTGGAATTTAACTTTTTTGATAACATAATATTTCTAAAATAAAGGTAGCCTAAGTTACTCCTTATACCATTGTCGGCGTGTGTCCCGTCACAATCGATCCAGCCGTATTAGAAATTACCAAGAACAAACAGTCCGAGAATATATATTTAATTTTTTTAATTGGAAGCACCGTATATACTTTCACATTTAGTGAAAAACTGTTGATTTGAAATGACAAAATATGAATGTTCGTATTTCCACAGATGCCTCATTCCAAATGTAGATAGTATCTACTATAATACTTATATATACATAGATACTATAGTATAGTAGTATAGGTAATACATACATATTCTCATACAAGCATTGAGTTTGCTTTGAGCAGAGTTCACTGAACCGAACCGCTTTAACTAATGGAAGGACAATAAATGCAGAAATGGAATAGATATTATTTTAGAGAATTGTCAATAACATTTTTCAAACGATTCATTCGTTTATTCGTTCTAAATTTTAAAAGCTTCTTATATTTTTTATAAGGTTATTAAGTTCTTGAATGTTTCAACTATTTCTTTTTTCGTATTTAAAATCGCTTTTTAAAATATCTTATACCTAGTGAACGATATAAATTAAATTAAAATATCATAATTTAATTTAGCTTTCTGTAAGCGGATTCAATGTCTGCATTTGTAGTTCTTGCTTATGAATGAATTACTTTATGCTTTCCTTTAATGAATAATAACTAACGTATAAGATTTACATATATCTGAGTGATTTCCAAATATTATAATGAAAATTGTAATGAAATTCTTACCGTTGAGAATTCAATGCATTATCTGACGTCATGTCGGCTACACCTGTAACAAATTGTTTATCATTATATACTAATAAGTAATATTATATTATCTGTGCTAATAATAATAACCCTGGACAATACACACAGCGCCATCTAGTTCTAAAGTAACCAGATCTTGTACTATGCGCGTTAAACTGATAGAATAAATATATTTGATTTTCAAAAAATATGCATAGAAAATACCTAAACAAATGATCATACTCATGAATGGAAATAATTTTCTTGTATCGAATTGAACCTGGACCATTGGAACAGAAATATGGTAATGTGCTAAACCACTAGACCATCGATCAGTTTGGGGGAAAATAGAAATAATAATAATTATTAAAATGAATTCACTTTTGAATCATATGGTCATATTTTTTTATTTTACTTGATGAATGAGCAAGATAATAGAATAGAATAGAATAGAATTCTTAGTGCAATCAGATAATATTGTCAGCGTTATGAATTTTTAGTTTTTTTTCTACACTAAACATTATTATCCTCTACAAATTGAACGTATTGTACGTAGGATGTATCTACACAAAATAAAAGAGGGTATCCGATATCCGATCCGATAGATAAACAATTTTTAAAGGTCATCTACGTGTTTCGAATTTTGATTGATATAAAAAAAGAATAAAATTATTTGTATGGAAAAATTTACCCATAAATTGAGCATTAAAAGGTCAAGGGTTGGCTGTCAAATAAGTACACCATGTCATACTAGGAAACTAAGGTGTTATACCTCTTTTCCTATAATTTATATATTGGTATTGTTAGATAATTGAAACAACATATACATATTAAAACAGTATTAGCTGTATATATTTTACTAATTTTACAGGAGTACATTTTTTATAGTTAAACGATTACAAATAGCAGGAAGATAAGGTAGTTTTTACAAAACTTTTTAAATTGTATATTATTGTTATATTTAATGGAATAAAACATTCATAAGAATTTTATGTTAAAATCGTTTTGTATATACCTATATATATATTTATATTTCCAAAATAAACTGTTATAGGTATACACAACTGTCTCATCTATTTATAAAGATATAAGCGAGACAGAGGTAATAGATATAAATTAATAATAACATTTATTTAAGGCAAAACTTTCAGGATATTATATTTATGTAAGTCTATGATGACTCTGCTGCTTCTTTGAATTATACTACTAAAGGTCAGTTTCCTTTTCATTCGAGTAATATTTAATAGGATTTACTTTTGTATTATTTGTACAGTTACATGTTACACGCCTACGGGAAAGTGTCTTATATTGTTTTGATAGTTCTGCTACTTTTGGTACTATTCAAAACGTACTTGATATATGAGCAATACTTTTTCATATAAAAATACTAGAATATATAGTATAAAGAGTATAGGATGACGTAGCTGGAGTTAGAACACGAGTTTCAAGACGTTTATTATCCGGGCCCCCACTAATATGCCGCATACTTCCTTAATGAAGAAGGATTACTGGCCGAAGGGTGTGGTGTATCAGCGCTATGGCAGATTGTCGTCAGTGCCGTGACTACAGAAAATTTTATGGTGTTCCGTGATGGTATATTTGTTGATTGCTAATCAACATCATTGTAAAACATCAGAAAATGATAGTTACCATCATTGTAAATCGCAGTCATTATGTTGTCTTCAAGGCTTATTAGGTCAGTCGTAAATGAACAATTACGACTTTACGGCCTTTCCTCAATTACGAAATGGTAAGCCGTGAACGTAATTACTTTTTACTTAATTGATTTGTGAGTGTTATGGATTAGTGGTTTATAAGCACGTTTTCGACACCCCAAAGGTCTTAAGTTGCAATTTAAATATATATATTTTATACTATACGGGATAAACGAGCTGGCGGTTCACCTGATGGTAAGTGATTACTGCCGCACATGAGCACCCGGAACACCAAGCGAATTGCAAGTGCGTTGCCGGCCTTTAAAACGAAATAAACTCTTTTCTCGAAGGTTTAATATCGTATCGATTTGGAAATACCATTGTTGGAAAATGAATCCACAATGTGGTGGTGCGTAGCAAAAAGTTTCTGGAAAAACGGACGGTTGAAGTTCGCTATTCACTCAAATGATCGTGCTGGTATTTTAGATTCTGGCGGTGATGAAATTCAGAATAGAATAGAATAGAATAGAAAATCATTTATTCAAATAAACTTACATTGAAGCACTTTTGAATAGTCATTACATTTTTTAATCTACCGCTCGTTCGGAAAGCTGTCTCATCACAAGAAGAACGAGCAAGAAACTTGCGTGTTGCTCTTTTAAATAATTTTATTATTACTTTACATTTTTAAGTTTAAGTGTGTGAATACAAACCACCAATTATCACTAATTCTATTAAATACTCAAATAGAAAAAATATTGAATATATAACCAACTGGTTAAACAATTAATAAGAGGAATTCAGTCATAGTGATTAGAGCAGACCAGTCCCTACAAGCAGCACCCGTTCACGAGTATGACGGATGAGCCAGCCATCACTGCGCTCGACCATATTTTAGGGAGCCCAATGACCCGGCCCACCAGAAGTTGGTATTAATTGGAACATATCCTCAAAACACTTTCCGTGATGTATGCAGTAGAATAATATACATATATTTATAGTATAAAAAATATTATCCACATATAGGTAATATGAGCGACTCACAGCCGCGAGCTGTAATATAATAATTATTCTGTGCCCGTAATTCCAATGAAATATTAATTAACAACTATATAAATATTGGTTATTTTAATTTAATTAGTGATACAATATAAGATCGATATTTATATAATAATGAGTAGAAATTTGCACGGCTGTATGTAGGCTGAATACACTGGACATAATAATATTTATTTTTGTAAACACTTATAAACACTGTATTGAGCAAATAAATTATTCTACCGATTCATTAGTTGGTTGCAAATTGAAATTGAAAACTGTTCTTTTTATGTCATATTTTTGATACATTCCGTATTGTCTTTACCATTCGTAGCTGCATCGTAATATTATATTATACTTTTTTTAATCTAATCTAATAGTGCGAGGAATCGAACCCGCGACCATCGGAAGTAAGACAGTGTGATAAACAGCTAGACCACCGAGGATGTAATGAAGATTTCGTTTCACCTATTTACGTCAAAAACCTATAAAGAAAAATAACTACCTTTATTAAACTATTTGTTTTCAGTATATAGCAGTATTTAAACACTATTGTGATGTGGTAACTATTTAATTATACAAAAGCATTGTGGTGATAATTAATTTGCGGACAAAGTGTTTTATCCGTTAACCACGCATTTGC